GACAAGATAAATATTGATGGCCGAATTTGTCACTGACATTTTTGGAATGGCTCACGAGCCCTGGTGATACCTGGACGAGGTGATTGCCGTAAGCTGGTCTGACGGATAATGATGATGATTATGCCTTCTACTCATTGCATTTTTCAAGCATTTCCATAACCTTAAGCGGCCTAATGTGAGTCCGATTATTTTAAGTTAGTAAAAGCTCTTAAATGAATTAAAGCCAATTGTTTTAGTATGAAGAAGCAGTCTTACTCAATGACCCAATGCTATTTTTACCAGAATTTAATGCCCAAACCATGCATATCATGTCCAAGCATGCAGCGATGCTAAGTTTGATGATAAAAGACAGTATTAATATTTTCGTATATTTCACTTCGATACTACTTTCGACACTATTAGTAGAGTATTATTATTAGTCTTGTTCTTTTCAGCTAGAAGTAATACAATAACTCACCACTATTTGGGGCCTTAATTTAGTAAAAAGCATGCTCGTAGACTAATGCAAAATTATTGAGACTTGTAATGACTTAAGACTAAACAATAGACGTTGAACATAGTTTTGTTGTACTCTTGTATTATCTGTGTCTGGTAAGGTAATATGGAGCCAATTTCCGCAACTTGAAAGAATGACCCAGGCAATGCTTAATGTGCTGGTGACTAGCAAATCGTATTTTTGGGCACCGACTGTCTTTAGGAATGTCAAATCAGTAAAGGCGTCTCCAGGGCTGCTAATTGAAGGTTCGTGGTGACTTGTAACTTCTAGTCAAAATTAGGTATCACTAATTAGACAGGTTGGTTTAGCCTTCCTCTTCACAACTCTACTAAATTTCGTTTTCTTTGCTGGCTAGGACGGCGACAAGTGTAAACTAATATCCTTCTCAGGCTCCATAATAAATTCATTCTATTCATTAACTTGAGGAATTCATTCAGTCTCTCCTTTTTTTCTGCCGAACAGCAACGTTTTTATCCATATATTTATATAATAATTTGATAGTCAATCTTTTTTCTCAATTTGACGCAATTTATCTATTGCTAGGAGGATAAGCAGCATCTTAATAAACAAAAATAGTGCCATCTAAGGCCGAACTCAAAAAATATTATGTCCAGTGTGTTTTATGTACACACCAGCGTGCAAGAACTTGATTATTCTGAAACCTACTGGATTATTTAAAGGTTCCTGGAGAAGATATTAAGGTTAGGTTTAAAGCGAAAGAAGAGCACGCTTCAGTGAGATGCTAGGCCTCCGAACGGAAAGGTTAAGAATAAATGGAAAAAAACTGGGCTTAGTTTACTTTCCTATTCATAGATCACGAATTCCTTCCAACCTACTTTCCTTTGGGAATATAAAGTCATGTCACAGTACACTAGGAAATTAATATGAATACTAAAGTAAAGTTGTCACTAAACAAAGCAAAACTCCTATAATTAACACTTTTTAATGAGTTATTTTTGTAAATTCGTAAAGGCAGATTATAGGGAATAATAATTATATAAGTATCAATACAATTACTAATAATAATAACGAGTACAATGAATAGGTTATAATAAATAGAAAATAAAGTGAGAATTGAATGAGGAAATTGGAATATTTACCAATGAGCCAGACACTTATAATATGTGGGTCAATTAACGAGTCTTCTACATCCTTGTGGCGAAAGGAAAGATGGGAAAAGTGGTAGGGTAAAATTCATACCATCTTTTTCTTGTCTCGTGCCTCGGCAGAACAAGTGGTCGTCCGCTGCAGCCTGCTGACGAACCAAAAGGTCTTGGCGATCCGCGACAGCCTGCCGGCCTCGCGGCTCGCGCTGCACGAGGCAGAGTTCTCGCTGGCACACCCGGTCCAGTTCACTTTCGAGGCGTGTGAAAGTCAGATCTGCCTACTGCTCACGGTACTCGCCTCAAAGGGCGAATCGGCCGACGGCCTGTCCGGCCATTCCAGCCTCAAAGGCGCCAGCGTTGAGGCGCCCGGTCCCGCTTGCGCCACCGGCGCAGGAAGCGGCCTCCAGTCTGGTGGTGCCGGCGAACCCGGTCCGGGCGTTGTCTGCAAGGAGAGCCACGTGATTGGCCGCTGCGTGATCGGTGCCGAGGGTCTGGCCTACGGCTCGGGCGAGCTGCACTGGCGCGAAGTGACCAGCAAGCGGGGCAACATTAAGCGGGAGCATCTTCTACTGTGAAGATCTTCAAATAAGTTCCGACAGACGAATTCACCAACTTCTCATCCTCCTTCTCCTTCTCCTCCTCCTCCACCACCTCTTCCTCTTCCTCTCCCTCTGCAAATTTAGGCAGCAAATGGAATGCTGTAGCCATCTGGTATCATGTTAGCTGCACATGCATGCGTTGGAAGTGTTTGACACTTGCAACTTTTAAAAGAGCTACAGAAGATTTGGGGCAATGTTAGCTCCCATAATATTTTTGAAACTTGTTCATTTTATTAATATTTGAGTGTCGTTTACCTTTAGAACCCTGTATAATGGCATTTATGGGAAATGAATGAAATTAATTTTGGGATATTTATTGTTTTCTTAAGAAAAAATATAACTTTTCGTTAGTTAATAGAGTTTCGAGACTACTAGCGAATCAGCTATTGCAAATATAACTTTGCTTCGTCGACAATGCCACCAAAGAATGTGATATGCGAAAATGCCTGGCCTTCTTTGAAATTCACATCTGCCCTGTGACCCAAGGGCATTAGTCACAATGTGGCGTAGTGGTAACTGTATTGAGATTAAACGCTGCAGTGTCATGCTTCGAGTCCGGCTGAATATTCTGATGAGACAAGTTCAGGCGAGGTCGAAACTGCAGTCCACTTCTGCTTGGATGATGGCAACTTTTGGGCGGCAGCGCCTTGTGAAATTCACTGGAATCGTGAAACACACTAATATTATTGTGATACAATTCAACTTCCTGTCCCTTTTCATTTTAAACGAAATAGGGCGACATTAAATGTCATTTTGTCAAGCTCACGTTTCGTGTAACATATCTAATAAGCAATTGCACCAGCAGACGACATTGGATTCCCGTGGATGTGTAATTATTTGATTTTACTATGACATTCAGTCCATGAGACATTCATCTTAGGTTCTGTTTAAAGTCGTCTGACATTTCGTCATAGCTAGAACTTATTTTATCAAAACTCACTACCAATTCAAGAAGACTAACCAGCTCTACCATATGAGTTATATATCCTTTGCAAGGTACCAACTCTAAAATAGGCAAAACATCTCCAGATCCGATTATCTCCACGCCCATGTTTGACTCTTGGTTTAAGGTGCTACTACTTTAGTCTCTCATGTGGTCTTCACCTCAAATAAGCTCTCTGATACAAAGCTTTCTCCGTGCCTTCAACAGTTGAATTTCATTATCGTTTAGCTCATGTTAAATGTATATATTTTCAATAGTTTATAAAAATTTTACCAATCCTCTTTTACTTACTAAGATAAGGGGTTCTTTGTTCATCTGCCTTTGAAGCATGAATGTGGATGCTGTTCAGTCTTTTAATGCAAATTGCTTGCTACACTTGATTGTTCTACACATTGCTCGAAGGGATGTACCACTCTGAGATACAGAGGCATGCCATCCCCTATGGCTTAAAGTTATGTGGAAGAGTATTCATGTTCCGGCAGTATGGCAGTGATCCCAGCCATGCATCGAAGTTGTGCGAGACCTATTTGGAATTGAGAGAAAAGTGAATAATGCTGACTTTCATGGCTTATTCTCCTCCACAGTCACGAGACCTCGATTTAACATATTTTGGAACTTTTGAAAAGGAAAAAGGGAAAATATGAGACACTAATTTGGATTATGTGAAATCATGCTGTAATTTATTTATTCTCAATTTATGCAAAAATGTGTAAAATTGGAACAAAACAGGGTGGTTGAGGAAAAATAGGGTCATTCCCAATACTGAGAAGTGTTGATTGTTAGTAAAAGCAAACATACTTTTGATCGAAGCTATAAAGTTCAAGATGGTGTGGCCTTTTATATGGTCATGATCTCCTTTCGTTGTACAGTAGTTGTTTAACCTGTTCTTCACAACTTGGTCATATTGGTAGGAAGACTTAGAGTCCAGAGTTGGACCGTGGACTTGGTACATTCCCAGACGTTTCGCCTGTATCGTCAGTAAGCCTTGTCATTCATAGCACCACACTACAACTCGTTAAAGAAACAAATAAAGTCGATCCGTTGATCAATTGTATGCTAAAAAGTTATGGTATCTCTCCTTCTGCCCTGGGCTATTCACCACTCCTCTATCCTCGTATCACCCCTTCCCTATCACAAATTCCTAATAGCTTATTTAAGCCGGTTGGCTTTTATACGAAGTTGAGATTGACGCAGTCCACGAGACTTTCTCCCACTTTTCAGGTGAAAACGGGTCCCACCTTTTGTCCGTCATTTGATGGACATCATCAGAGCTGGGACTAATTCTTGTAAAATTTTCAAGTTAACACTGTATAAGAGGTAAGATAGGGTCGGATAGTATACTTGCTTTAATGTTAATTTGATAATTTTACAAGAATCAGCCCCAGATCTGATGATGTTCATCATATCAATCTCAACGTCGTGTAAAAGCCAAACGGCTGCAGTACAACGGGATTCAACCGTCCTCTTCCGGTGAAATCCGAAACGAAAGTTCCAACAATTATGTTCTTAGTTAAGGAGGCGGCAAACCCACCTATTTCTTATAGTCTATCTTTGTCCACTTAATGAGACATTCCGTCATTTGCTTGTATATCCTTTACCATCCATAAATGTTTGCTGCAAGTGAAATGGATACAAATGGTATGTGAAAGGGCTGCAGATGAGGCGTGAAATGGATGCGATTCTGACCGAACTTCTGTATCCTCTCATAAACCTTTGCAGGCTGTTTTCTATTCAAGTAACATCTTACGCACAAGCTAGTGCAAATGCAGTTTTGCTTCATCGGCAATCCCACCGCAGGATGTGATATGCGAAAATGCCTGGCCTTCTATGAAATTTGCATCTGTTCTGTAGCTCGAAAGCACTCCCGGCAATGAGATATGAAATTTAGCATGTCAGGATAGTGTGCTGCACCGTCAAGCTTGAGTCCCTCTAAGCGTGTTGATAAGACCTAGACGAGGTCGAAACTGTGATCCACTTTGGAAGAGAATGCCTTTAAGAAAGCAGGGCTATGTGAAATTCAATATTCTAAGATGTGGAGAAATTCAACCACCAGTTCTTCATCAACTCAAAGGAAATAAATGTTAAATTTTTGCTGGAAAGTGAAGTGACGAGGATGACATGTAAAGGGGCTGCAGATGAAATTGTGTTTAAACAGTTACATCCTACCCTAAATCACTTATATATACATTATTATTTAATGATGACGCATGCGTGCTGTGTGTATGTACTGCTCTGCAACTGCGTGAGATGTGAAAGCGAAAACCAGATTCGAGTATAACCAAGCTTTTTACTTTTGCTCGGGGGTACAAGTAGTACTAATTAACTTCCTTT